GCAGGAGTATGAAGGCGTCATGTCCAGCTACCATTACTGGACGACGGTCACGGTAGTGAGTGCGTTTTTCTCTACTTGTTGTACAGCCGTGTTCTATGTAGGTCCTTGGGGGTTTCTATGTAATGTCCCAGGCACAAGCTCTTTCACGGTCCGCTCCCAGATCCCCAAGAAGTTCCAGACCTCGGAGAAAGGGAAGGTGAGAGACAAACAGGGCCGCAAAGAACAGACGTGGGAACAAGCATTATTTATGTCCTATGGTCTAACATATAGAGGAAACATATGCTGTACAATGTGCAACAGTGATTAGGCTAAAAGTGTCTTTTGAATATTCATCGGAAGCAAAGCCCTATAGGTTGGTTGCTACCGTATACCTTGGATACAGAGCGTTGCGCCGTTGAGCAAGGAAAACACAGGATCCGTTTGCTATGATGCAACCGTTGCGTGGGAAGATTCGCTGGGGAGCGTAGAATATGCTGACCCAGGGAAAGCCAGTGAGTGTTTTGGACTCATACATGGGTAAGTTTCGCAAAAATAGCAGCGAAGAATTGAGGAATGAACAACTGTAAATGAGAAGCTAAGGGGCGTCTCTGTGCTGACCAGGTGCGAGAGTGCCGAATTACATAGCTAAGAAGGGCTAATTGACGGAAGGACCGCGAATAGCCAGAATACATGCGTACATTATGGTTGCTGAGGATATCAGAACCTGAGGCCTAATCGCAGCAGCCAGAGTGCTAGGGTAATAGTGCCAAGCTGGATAAAGCCATGGACTGCTAGCCCGAGACTCAGGGTATTGCAGGTAAAAAGTGCCTAAGACAATACAGCAAGTAATGGGTAGATAAAGGTCTAGAAATGTGAGGCAGAAGCGCGGCTTACGCTGAATAACTGGATGTGCTTGCACGACAGAAGAAAGCTAAGAGAAGTTTCGTGATAGAATGACAGCGGACAAGTACAGCGCAAGCATACAAAGAGGTTGTTAGATAGTTAGAGCATAATAGACTACGACGCATCGACGCGCAGCTAATCAAATCATGCGGTGGTGCTAATGGAGTATAATTAAGGAGGCGTGAGCCGGGAGAAGCCAGTGAGAGAGCTGTACTACAGTCAATTAGCTTCCGCGGATGAGCAATGGCATTTAGGTGCGGCCTTATAATTGTTAGTGGACACCTGATTAGGGCAACAGACAGCAAGTGTATGTGACGCACGCAGTCCCAGTGATTAAAGCTTGGAGGAACAAAGTGTGGACCTTAGCAGCTCAGTATATGCGCAAAAATGATAGTAGCTTATGAAGAAGGACTGCTGCTAAACACGGGAGCCAGAGGTAAGACGAGGAACAGTTAGGGTCGCTGTAAGTGTGAGTATCAGTGATCAGCAATGGAATTTGCATGAAGCCTTTTAGTTGCCAGTGTATGCCCACAATTACCCATAATAAATCAACAAAAAGCGGATGTATGTGACGCAGACAGTCACAAAGAATGTTCGAGATAGAAGAGAGTGGCTCTTAACAAGCTCCAGAAATGCGAGGAGCCTACGACCACTAGTTGCTGCTAAGCAGAAGTGCTTAGGTTTAAGTGGATCGACAGAACATGGCGCTGCGAGAAAATTTCGGCGGCCTGATTTAGGCGGTCCATTAGGCTATTTGGTTACAAGTGGATAGCTACAGTGTCACAGAACACATCAGCAAGCCAGCGAAGGTAAGTGCTACAGACAATTTGGGAGATTACAGGACGGAGAAACGAGGATTGGCTCCTAGTAGCTCCGGATAAGCTCAAAGATGTGTGGAGCCTACAATGAATCTCTGCAGTAGACGTAATGAAGATAAGAAGAACGAAGGGTAATTGTGCTAAGGGAGAGAACCGGCGGACAGCATCTGAATTCCATTGAACCTTCTAGTTATTTATTAGATACAGTGACAGAAGAAGTCAACAAACCAGTGAAGGTATGTGGTGCTAACAATTCAAGAGAGTGAGTTGGAGAGATACAGAGTGGCTACTAGCGTAGATATGTATGCTAACTACTATGACTGGCTGCAGCTAAAAAGTGGTGACATAAGTAATACGAAGAACTGATAATGATACAAAGCGAGATAGAGTGTATCCGCAACTAGCAATGGCATTGGGGTGTAGCCTTCTAGTGGCTAGTGGATACCTAAAGTGTCCCAGAATAAGTCAAGGGTCAGCAAATGAATGTGACGCAGACAGTCACAAAGAATGAAGGTTGGGGATGAAAGAGGGTTACACTTTGCTGGCTCCGGATATGTGCAGAGATGCACAGGGCCTACGACCACTAGTTGCTACCAACTAGAAGTGCTGAGGTGAAGAGGATCGACAGGAACCGGTACTACAAGAAACATTCAGTGGCCAGAAGTAGCCATTCCATTAGACACTTTGGTCACAAGTGGATTCCTACAGTGTTTGAGAATACATCAACCAACCAGCGAAGGTAAGTGATACAGACATTCTGAGAGATTACAGGATGAAGAAACGAAGAATGTATTCTAGTAGCTCCGGATAAGCGCAAAGATATATGGAGCCTACAATGAATCACTGCAGTAAACGTAATGCAGATAAGAAGAACGAAGGTTTAGGTGGCGAACCGTCGGTACCCTTCCCTGACTTAGTCTCGTCTGACCACACACCCTCGCTCTGACTGCTTACAGACTATCGAGAAGTGAAGAGCCTAGGTTCTGCGGATCAACCGCCATGTTGCCCACTATTCTAGGGGCTGTTAGACTATCCCATCCTTTATTTTTAAAGACATTTTAACCCTAATCCGTCCAATTCTACTGACGCACCCCATTTGACTTCTAAAACGTTAATGATCTGGGCTGGCAAAACCATCCACCAAACAGCGGAAGCCTTGCTATTCGTATACAACCGTAATCGTTATAGATTTTTCCATCCGGAATCCACCCTACTTATTTCTTTTCGCGTTCTCTTTGTGGTTGGATGGCTTGCGCACAATGGACCGTATTGAGGTAGTCTCATCCTTTCTGCTGCATTGGTGCTTCTAGGCTGTTCAGATTTAAGTGCTCTGTCCTCAACGGAGCCAGTACTCTATTCAGCTTACCTACGTAGGTCATTTAGTTTCTATTCGCCCGGCAGCGGTATAGAGCTAACCCTCCCGCTTTTATCCTGTTCGCCCTCTTACTTCTTTTAGCTTTTCCGCACCCAATATTCCTAACTGTTTATGCGTGACTCTGTAGGACTAGTTAATACTAGTCCGAGACGATGCGCGGAATTAAGCGCGGATATCAGAAGGCAATTGGAGTCGGACACAGCGGACTGTATTCGATGGGACTACAACAAGAAACGGACGGATGAAGCGAGGCAAGAGCGTACACGTGAGCGCGGGAACTTACAAGGCAGTTGTGTGTCGAGCCGGTTGTAAGATTAAAACAAGAAGGAGTAATGTACAATCGGTCAACAAGTAAATTGTACACGAAAGATAAGAGTTATCTTTTTGGGCGCTACAGAGCTCCCCCCCTAGAAGGCTGAACATAGAAAGCCTTCGAAATCGAAAAGGAATGTTGAAACGAGGTTCGTAAGGCGAAATCGTGCCGAGTAAAAATGGGCGTGCGTTCGTGTAAATGGGGGTTCGTCGGAAGTCGGAGTCCGCTGTGCCGTTTATGATTTGTTATTTATTGAATGCAGGGCAGGGTGCATTTCGGCGAGCCGTTGGAGCGGGCTTGTCGGACTACAAAAAAACTGGCTAGTCCAGAAAAAGGCCGACAGGACCTCAACCTCCGCTGCTGCCAAACGGTGCGCTTGGGAGTGGTCTCTCCCCCCGCCGCACCCCGCCCCGCGCCAAAACGACCCTCGTCCCACGAAGATAACGACCATGGTCCCACGGAGAAGCGACCCTCGTCTCGCGGAGAAGCGATCCTCGTCCCGCGGAGAAGCGATCCTCGTCCCGCGAAGAGGCGATCCTCGTCCCGCGGAGAAGCAATCCTCGTCCCGCGGAGAAGCGACCAGTGTTCGCGTCAGGGTCCTCGAAAACATTCCTCGTGTGGGCCAGTCGATCGAAGGGGAGGGTTGGGGCATGTAAAGACGAGAAAATAGAAAAACACGCGCAGAAAACGCCAAAAAGAACAAACGAATGAGCTGCGTGTTTAAATATTTTTTGGTTTTTGAATATTTTTTTCGAAAAAGGTTTTTCGGGGTTTTTTGATATTTTTGTTTGTTTTCAAAACGTTAATCGACCAAAAACGAGGCAAATATATACAATATCTACAAAGTTAAAAGTATTTACACTGTACATAGTCGGAGAAGCGGACGGGCTTACGCACCTCCCGACCACGGCGATTGGTCGTGGGAGGCGGCGGGCTAGATTCGGGAGAGGTTGGGACGGCTTGCAGACCGAGATCGTGGTCTGGTTGAACTGGACTAGGATGATGTAAGTTGGTGCGATGAGTTGCAACGTCGCACGAAGCACTACTAGACGAAGTAGGCGAGGGGTTTTCTTCCATAAAGGCGGGTTTTAGACGGTCGATGGTGACGACTTCGTGTCGACCACCGCGGTCAATAGTGTACGCCTTACTCGCACGATGCAGCACCTTGAAGGGTCCTATGTACGGCGACTGAAGAGGCTGTCGAACACCGTCTGCGCGAAGAAGGACGTGTGAACACGTAGACAGCTTCTCGGGCACGTACACTGGTGTCTTCTGCGATCGAGGAGCGGGTGGACGTAGCTCACGCATCTGGTGAGCCAATCGGTCAGTGTAACTTCCGTAGTCAAAAGTGGAAGTACATGGGGCTGGTGCTACCAGCTGTCCGGGCAACCGCAGCGTGCAACCGTAGACTAGCTGCGCTGGTGTGGCGTCGAAGTCAGTCTTAACCGTGTTTCTTAAACCTAGGAGAACGAGGGGAAGCGTTTCAGACCATGAAGGATCTGCGTGCGCACGTAGCGCTGCCTTCAACTGGCGGTGAAAACGCTCCACCATGCCGTTAGTGGCCGGGTGGTACGCCTTCATCATAACGTTGCGATAGCCTAAATCCTTAAGCAACGTGGCAAACGTTGACGAGAAATGTGACCCTTGATCGGTGGTCACGATGGCGGGACAGCCGTATTGAGCTAAGCAGCGCTCTAGGAAAGCTTTCCCTACCGTTTTTCGAGGAGCAATTTGGGATACGTACGGCCTCAGGCCATCTAGTAAATCGATCGATGCAGGTCAGTAGATATACCGAGCCTTTGGAAGGCGGCAGAGGACCTACGAGGTCGACGTGCACGTGATGAAAGCGTGCGTCTGGCGTCGGAAAAGTGCCTAATGGGCTTCTCGTGTGCTTGTGCACCTTCGCGCGTTGACACGGAAGGCAAGCAGCTGCCCAGGTACGGACGTCCCGATTAACATTGCGCCAAACGAATCGTGCGGTTACGAGTTTAACCGATGCACGAACGCCTGGATGAGACAAGCCGTGCAACGCGTCGAACACGGTCTGCCGAAACTCACGTGGGACGACTGGGCGCGGCGTGCCCAGAGATAAATCGCACAGTATAGTGCCGTCTGATGATGTCAGCGGAACGGGTCGTATGTCCAATGAGGGAGACCTGCGTAGTAGATCAACCTCAGGGTCGTTGAGTTGCGCTGTGGCCATGGCTGCCAAGTCGATAGCAGTGCCGGCGTCAGCGGAGATAGCTTGAATGCGGGAAAGTGCATCGGCGACGGCGTTGTGCACACCTGAGACATGCCGTATATCGGTCGTAAACTGAGCGATATAGTCAAGGTGGCGCGACTCTCTAGGAGAGTATCGGTCGGTAGTCGAGCCGAGCACGTAAGTTAGGGGTTTGTGGTCGGTGAAGACGACAAAGGAGCGGCCTTCTAGGACGTGTCGAAAGTGACGTATCGCTAGATATACGGCAAGTAGTTCTCTACCGAACGTGCTGTAGCGAGATTCGGTAGGTTGTAGGCGTTTGGAGAAAAACGCTAAGGGCTGCCACGTGTCGGCTACGCGTTGCTGCAAAACAGCGCCGACCGCGACGTCCGAGGCGTCAGTACTAAGGGACAGTGGGGCGGTCGGATCGTGATGCGCTATGGAAGCTATGTTGGCGATAGCCTCTTTCAGCGACTTAAAAGCAGCGCGTGCTGCGGTAGGAAATTCGAACGTCTTGAGTTTCCCTCGGAGAAGGTCCGTGAGGGGTTGCATCAGAGAGGCGCAGTTGGGTATAAATCGACGGTAAAAGTTGACCAGGCCATCAAAACGCCTGAGCTGTTTGAAAGAATGAGGCTCGGGGTAGTCGATAATGGCTTGAATTTTATCTTGCAGTGGCACGACGCCTGCAGAAGAGATACGATGGCCCAGGAAATTAACTGAATCGACACCAAACGAACACTTTTCTGCGTTGATCGTCACCCCGTGTTGAGATAAACGATCAAAAAGTGTTCGTACGTGGCGTATGTGCTCTTCTCGTGAAGAGCTTGCGATTAAAATGTCGTCAAGATACGCGTAAGCGAAGTCTAAGCCGCGACAAACTTGGTCGATGAAACGCTGAAAAGTTTGCGCGGCGTTCTTTAGACCAAATGGCATACGCAGAAACTCGAACAAACCAAATGGAGTCGTCACGGCAGTTTTAGCGATGTCCGCCTCGGCTACCGGAATTTGGTTGTATGCGCGTACCAAGTCGATTTTGCTGAAGATACTTTTACCCGCCAGACTGGCGGTGAGATCCACTATGTGTGGGATCGGATAGCGATCAGGCGTGGTTACCGTATTCAAGGATCGATAGTCGCCGCAAGGACGCCAGTCCCCCACAACCTTCTTCGGGACCATGTGCAGAGGCGACGCCCATGGGCTGTTGGACGGTCTGACGATACCAAGTTGAAGCATGTGGTCAAATTCGGCTCGTGCTGCCCGTAGTTTGTCTGGAGCAAGCCGTCTTGGTCGTGCGCTAACTGGTTGACCGCGCGTAACTATGTGGTGAGCGACCTCTGTCGTGACTGGTGGAAGCTCTGCAGCCGGTCGAACCAGTCGCGGGTATTCGGAGAGGAGGCTCAAGTAGTCGGACGGTGCGTCTGCGATCCGAAATACAGGGCTGATTATCGGGGCATCTGAAAGGACACCATCAACACCTAGTTTCGTACGGTCGTCTAAAAGCCTGTGGCGACCAGCATCAACAAGCAACCCAAAATGTCGGAGGAAGTCGATACCGATAATTGCGAAGGGTACAGACGCAACCATGAAGACCCACTGAAAATCTCGGCGAAGATTGAGGTCTAGGTTCATCATGCGCTGACCGAATGAAGCTATCGGAGAACCGTTGGCCGCACGCAAATTGTACGTAGGCTTCGAGTGCTTGTCGCTAGCGGTCGCTGGGATGACGCTGACTTCCGCTCCTGTGTCGATGAGGAACGTGATGGAAGAACGTCGATCCTTAACGTAAAACAGTCGGTTTGCTTGGTTATTGAATGATACGTTTGTAGTGCTAGTATGCGGGCTATTCGTTTTCCCTGGGTCGTGCCTAATGCAGGGAGCCCGACAACGTCTAGCTCTTCCACCGTATTGGCGGTGATACCAACATACTTCTTCGACGGGCTTGACATTATCTGACTGAGAACTTGTAAGGAAAATGTGGCGCTTTCGTGCCGAACGTGACGTACTCGGTGCAGGCACAGACGAGCCGCAATGAACGGTAGCCAAAACGTGGTCAGCATTTGACCGTGGCACACGCTGCTTCGAAGCCTTCATTGCTGCTATCCTGCTGCGAAGTAGCGCAATTTCCTCGTCTTTAGAGTCAGATCGGTCTAGCGACTGGGAACAAACATGGGATTCGGTTTTCATCGGTGAGAATACGTCACCGGAGTTACTGGTCGTCTGCTGCGGAAAACGTTCGAACGCAGCGTCTGCCTTGGTAGCTAAGTCTTTCAAGGGTGCATCTATAAACATGGACAGCATTACCGGCAATGGCTCTGGGAGACGTGCAAACCACAGCTCCTTTATCCCTTCTTCGCTCAAGAATAAGGGACCAGCGATGCGCTGAAGTTCGCGGAGCAATGCCGACGGCTTGCGATCTCCAAGCTTGAGACCATTGAGCTGCTCAAATCGTGTTCGTGCGCTGGGTCGTAACTCTTTCAATATCGCTTGCTTCATCGTTTCATACTTTGCCTCATTCGATGGGCAGAGTAGAATGTCCTCAATCAGCGTCACTACCGACGGAGGAAGGCGTGGGACGAGCTGATTGTACCTTGGACGGTCCGCCGTTATGCCCTTATTTTCTAGCTCGATCTCGAATATCTTAAACCAAACTTCTGGACTGTGTTCCATGAAACTTGGAACAGCCAAAGTAAGCATGGTTACGCTGTGAAACGACTCAGATGCCACTCTCGAAATGTGAGTCGAAAGATAAAGAACGAACAAAATACGATAAAAGTACTAAAATTACGCAAGAAACAAATGAATATAGGTATATAATCGAGAAAAAGGAACGAACTCACCAAAAAATACAAACGAGAAAAATGTTGAATTCGCGCGTGCGAATCGGGGTCACCAATTTGTAGGACTAGTTAATACTAGTCCGAGACGATGCGCGGAATTAAGCGCGGATATCAGAAGGCAATTGGAGTCGGACACAGCGGACTGTATTCGATGGGCTACAACAAGAAGCGGACGGATGAAGCGAGGCAAGAGCGTACACGTGAGCGCGGGGACTTACAAGGCAGTTGTGTGTCGAGCCGGTTGTAAGATTAAAACAAGAAGGAGTAATGTACAATCGGTCAACAAGTAAATTGTACACGAAAGATAAGAGTTATCTTTTTGGGCGCTACACCTCCCTAATTATGTCGTCACTGCTCCCAATCTGGCGATATTTACGAAACATGTTGACGATACATTGTCTCACTTACATTTCATTTTATGACTTGTTAGCCAGGGGCTACAAAACGCAATCAAACGGTTTCTTGCCAAAAGCCAAACCAATGGATTCATGGACTTATACGTTTAATATGCGAACATTTTCGCCATTCCACATAAATCTATGGTGAGTCTGCCACAACACTTTTCACTTTATTATGCAATTTATTTTCCTAATAATTTCCATCCCACGGGACTTGTTTAGCGATGCTTTTTACCCGTAATAAACCATTGCCCATTGTCCATTGCAGCAAAATATTCGGTGTTCTTCCATCATGGAACCGTGAGCAGATTTCCGCTTACATAATATAAATGTTCACTTACCTAATTAACTTTTGAAATAGTTCAGCGCATGTTGCCCACACGAAGTCAGTACACCTAGGTACATTGCAGTTGCAAGTGCACGCGGCACCAATTATGCCGATGGCCTATTATTATGCCGCATGATGATTACCATTGCTGACATTCAACGAAAGAAAGCTGCCTTCCTACACAGGGAATGCCCGCATTTACCGATTGACGAATGCGTTATCACATTTCCCAATTAAAGTCACACTTGTAAACATCCATATACATTCCATTAATAAAAAGTACGTCTAAATATATGGACATGTGTTTGCATTATATATATATATTTCATGTGGTGGGTTTGCAATTTTGTCCTAATGCTTTTCTTTCCTATATAAATGTCTACCAGTACTCTCTTCTATAAACTTGCACACGTCGCTTAAGCCAATAGTAGTTAAGTTCGATATCAGTTTCCTGTTTGTGACATTTCCGTAAATACACTTTCTGACCTCGTGAAGTTATCGCGAATTCGTCCGTAATCATTTTTTATATGCTCATTTAGTGAAGGGTTATGTCTCCGTATATATATGCTTCATTTTACTTATTTCCTTACATTTTATCGTTCATGTGATTTCCTGTTGCTTGATATCCCCGATGTGGTTGCGCTTGATGTACATGTTGACAATGTGCCTGCCTGTCTATTACCCACTACCTCGTCCACACTGGCTCCAGGAGACAGTTGGCCGTTGCTGGAGGGGACAGGGTGCACGGTATTTGTGGCCGTGTTAGGATCAAAGGGTGGTTCCATGCAATCAGTTAAGAGTGGACTACGGTCCAGCCACCGCCTTGTGTGCGCCTGATTTCCAGATACAGCGTGCTCTTGTTTGACTATGAAGCAGTGTGGGACGGCTCCGTTAAGGGGAGATGGCTCCAATCCGCATGCTTCCGGGTCTTTGTCCCTCGGGTTTACACTGAATGTGGTACGTGTGGATGGAGCTGTGGGTGGTGCCACGCAGTAGTAGTAGTAGTGGTAGTAGTAGTAGTAGTAGTAATCTCAACAGTCTCAACATAGAGCCAATAAAAACCAAGGAAATCGGTGGATAGGAGAGTCACTGCGTTATAATCATCTTGGCATGCTAGTTGAAGGTGGGTAACACACTTCAGCTAATATGCCGCAACAAGAATGGAACATTTTGACAAAAAATAGAGCAAATCATTTTAGTTTGTTTTTCACACGCCCATTTTTCTATTTTTTTGTGATTTTCAATGTTGGTAGTTTTAAACATGTGAATCAATACAACACTGTACTCCATTCTTCCACTGATTCCGGTTGCGGGCCATGTCTTCAAGCGTTCTAAGCCATTGGCACTCCTCATCTTTGGGTCCCCAGCCTGGGAGACGTACGGATCCAACAGCGGCTAGACACGACGTCAGCGATTTCATGTGCTGCCGCCAAGTGGAAAGCTGACCACGACGCAGTCGCTTCCAGCCAGATACTTGACGATCGAATAGAGCACGACTCGGTAGACGCTCGAGTGCCATGCGTTGAACATGACTGAGCCATCTTAACTGGCGCAACAAAACCAGTTTGTTGAAGGAAATACTTGCATTCCCCAAGGTGCGACGTCGAACGTCATTACTATTAACTCAATGTTTCCATCAAACACGAGCAATCCTCCTTAAGCAACTGTTATCAAACGCAGAAAGACGACGCATGTCTTCCACGCGAATCGGCCAGGACTCGCACCCATACAACAATACTGAACGAACTGTTGCGCTGTAAATGCGGCCCTATAGTGAGAATGAGACGTCACGACGACGCCGCAAGTGCCTCAGATTCACAAATGCTAAACGAGCTTTAGCGATACGAAGCAAAACTTCTTTGTTGATAGTGCCGTCAGCGGAAACACAGCTCTCAAAGTAGACAAAACTATCTACCTGTTCCAGTTGTGCACCATAGAAAGTGAGCACGGGAGCAGGTGAAAGCCAATTCTTGAGCAGTACTTTACACTTCGACGGGGCGAAGCTCATGCCATACTTAGATGTTTCAAACGCCAAACGATTCAGAATGAGTTGCATACCCTGAAGATCGTCACCAAGTAAAGCGATATCATCAGCATAATCTAAGTCGGTTGTGCGCTCCCCCCGTGGATGTTCTAGGCCAAAATGTTGGACACCTTCTATAGCATTCGACAGAACGTCTTCGAATGCGAAGTTGAAGAGGAATGGAGACATAAGGCAGCCCTGTCGCACACGGCTATTGACAGCGAACTGCGAGGAAAGCTTGCCATAGACCCTCACTCTGCCGGATGTATGAAGGTAACGTGCTCGTAAGATGGCGGTTTAATTTCTCTGGCACCCGTTTCATTAGTAAGCAACGCCGTAAAGCATGTCGATCAACGGAGTCAAAAGCGGCACGTATGTCTAGGAATGCAACGATAGTGGGCCTGTAATAAATGTGCCAATGTTCAAAAATTTGGCGGAGCGTGAAGATTTGATCCACGCATCCGCCGCCAGGACGGAAACCAGCTTGTTCTTCACGTTAGTATGATTCACGTACTGGGGATAACCTGCGAAGCAGAATGGATGCCAATAGCTTAGAGGCAACCGAAGTAAGACTAATACCGCGATGAGTTGCACATGAATTGAGAGAGCCTTTTTGAATATTGGGACAATAACTGATTCGCCCCAAGAGGAAGGCACTTTCTCTTCATGCCAAATTTTTGAGAACAGCGCGGGCAGCTGGTAATGATCGCCACACCGCCGTACTTGAATAGCTCCGGAGGAAGTCCGTCTAAGCCGGCAGCCTTGAAGCGCTTTAAGCGTTGAATCTCGAGGAAGACTTCTGCTTCGCTGGGTGGATTCAATGGGGTGAGCCAGGGTGGACAACATGGTGTACTGCATGTACTGATGGATGGTGGAGGCCAGTTGAACTGCGAGTGAAAGTGCTCGGCCCAGCGGTCCATACGCCTCTGTTGGTTGGTGATCGGAGACTTATCCACCTCACAAATGAGCTCATTGACACCAGGCTTCCTGGGGCCAGCGTACCGGATGAGTTGGATAAGCCTGCGAGTGTTGCCAGAGAGGGCAGCGGTCTCCAAATCTAAAGCACACTCAGACCATAATGTCTCGCGATCTTGCGTAGGCTTTGTTTGAGCAGCCGGTTGGCAGAACGGCGTTGCTCGTTGCAATCTGATTTCTCGGGTACATCTTTGCGGCGTTTGAACAGCTCCAGAAAACGAGCAGAGATCCAAGACTTCAGAGGGCGTCGAGTTAGACCGCAGCATGATTGTCCGGAAATGGTCAACGCTTTCCGTATACAAGTCCAGTGTTGTTCCACTTCTTGCGGTGGATTGCAAGTGAGTGCACATGCCAGTAAAGGCTGATAGCTCTCGTGGACAGAGGAATCAGTTAATCTGTTTACATCAATCTTGCGGTGCCTCGTGTTTCGGGATCCTCCAAAACACACAGATTTTCGCGCGGACCACAGCATGATCTGAATGAAAGAAAGTGGACCAAATGACCTGCAGTCCAGTACGCTGCCGCGCCATCTGAAGCTAATTGCCGTGGGATCAATTTGAGACCATGGTTGTGTTGGCGAAGGGGGACGCCACGTTGGCCATCGCTTCTTTGTACGCCTAAAGCTAGTGCTCGAAAGAAACAGACGGTTGTCCTCGCACAATGAGAGAAGTCACTTTCCATTATTGGAGCGGTTCTCATCGAGCGAGTGATGACCACCAAGGTGGCGTTCGTATGAT